AATATTTGGAATCATACAGTATGTAGCCTTTTCAGATTGACTTCTTTCACTTAGTTATATGCATTTAAGTTTCCTCTATGTTTTTTCATGGCTTGAGATCTCATTCCTTTTAGTGCTGAAATATTCCATTGTCTGGATATACCACAGTTTATTCGTTCACCTACTGAAGGACACCTTGGTGGCTTTCAACTTCTGGCAATTATGAATAAAGCTGCTATGAACAGCTGTGTGCAGGATTTTTGTGGACATACATTTTCAGTTCACTTGGGTAAATAACAAGTAGTGGAATTGCTGGATCACATGGTAAGAGTATGTTTAGTATTGTGAGGAATTGCCAAGCTGACTTCCAAAATGACTGCACCACTTTGTATTCCCACCAGCAATGAATGAGAGTTCCTGTTGCTCCACATCCTCCTCAACCTGTGGTGCTTTCAGTATTTTGGATTTTGGTCATTCTAATAAGTGTGTAGTGGTATCTCATTGTTATTTTAATTTTCAATTTCCTAATGACATGACATTAAACATCTTTTCATATGCTTATTTGGTATCCATATATCTTCTTTGATGAGGTGTCTGTTCAGGTCCTTTGCCCATTTTCCAAACAGGTTGTTTGTTTTCTTATGTTGGGTTTTAAGAGTTCTTTATAAAATTTGGATAACAATCTTTTATCAGATATACCTTTTGCAAATATTTTCTCCCCACCTGTTTTTTAAAAATAAAATCATAGCACAGCCTGGTACCAAGCCTTGATTTTGGGGGGCTTGATGGGACAATATCAGGATGTTAGGATGTGTTGACTACGTCCTGAAAACTTTAGTAAAATCATACAAGTGAGAAGTTTCTATCAAGTGTGGCCTCCCTGAAAGGCAGAGAAGAAGGAAATACAGCTTTTCTAAGAAAGATACATTTTGCCTATGACCATAAATCCAATATGGTTGAATGATGGATAGACTTGAGCTTTGCAGAGTTAAAAAGCTGGATTCTTTGCACCAAACTAAAGTCAGGGAAAGCAAATAAAGGGAGATGTGGTTGGACATAAGATGGAGACCTGGAGAAGTCTGATTCTTCAGCTCCTAACACATCTTTTTGGGTTCTTTTTATTGACAAAGATGACAATTACCCCCACTGTAAAAACCATTCCATGACGTGGAACGTGGGGTAAGGGGAAGGGGAATTGTTCTTCTCCAACCAGGGTACAGGGCTATAGTTTTCCACTGCCAGGTTGAATGCTGAAAACTTACAGAATGGATAAAGCTCTAGAACCTGTTGCTGTATGACAGAATGCCTCAGATTTAGCTCTTGATTCCAGAACCGTAATTCATCAAGATCTGTGGAACTGAACAAATGTAAATCAGCAGAGGCTAATAGAAGAGAAACTCCAAGCTTATTTTCTAAGAAACCAAAAGCCTCTACAGTTCATCTGAGGTAAGCGTAAGCAAAAGTGAAAGCTAAGCAAAAAGAAACATATTTATAACTGGGCTAACTCGAGGAAATAAGGCATCAGCTCAAAATCTGGCAAGAACACTTGACATGAATAAACACCTACACATTCAAACACATACCTACAGTCACTCTTCCACATGAACACCCAGACACAAGCTATGAAAAAAGTATCTCATGAAAGCACCTTATTTTATTTAAGCTCAAAAAACGTGTGAGTGGATTCATGAGATAGTGTTACAGGCATTTATTTACTTCTGGGATATGGAACTATAGTACACTGGTCCTTCTCAGGCTAAACTGAGAACATTTAAGGCAAATTTTGCCAGCTAATCTAGGTATACTCAGGCTCATCTCTTTGTTTACTCCAGTACAAATACGTATGGAAGTCTTGCCAGTGTGGTAAATACACGCCTAAATTTTTTCCTTCTTCTCTTTTCCTGATTTTATCTTCAGAAACAGAAGAAAATCAAAGAGAGTAGAGATCAGAAAAGGAGAGTGGAGAAAGGAAGAAGAGAGAAAAAAAGAAAACACAGGAAAAGGATTTAGGTCTGAGCATAAGAAAAATATCCTTTAATGTGTTTACTGTAAGAAGAAACATTATAAAGAATCAGTGGAGTCATTTCCTAAAGAAAAGAGGAGGAAAACGTATTCTTCTTACAAATTAAATATACAAGTATGTATGTTTATTTTCCCCAATGCATTTTTTTTCTTTGAAATAATGATAATTCTTTGGAGAGACCCTTGGGGTTTAAGGACATCAGCTTTTACACAGAGCCCGATGCCAGATCCTTATTATTGTGACTTTTTTTTCTTTCTAAAAGCAGGATAAGCTAAATATTGACAGGTGAGGCATTCAGTTAAAAGAAGATTTAATTTGTTTTTTTGCATTTGCTAGGATAGGATGAGGGAAGAGTTAGTCAATACCTTTCCTGGGTCCAGCTGCCTCTCTCACACTCACCTTTGGTAAGGCTTCTCTGAGACTCTTGGACTTCCAGCCATACAATTGTATGAAAGGAAAGGAAACGTCAGTTCAGTCCAAAATATCCCAGTGGATTTTCTTTAACACTGGGATCTCCACTGGTGAACTTTCCTTAACGCTTTTGCCTCTCCTAGTTTAGGGTGGCAGGTAGAAAGATGGGCAGAGGTCCAGAGGCCAGAGATAGGCTGTTTTGTTCCCTTTCCTGCCCAGCAATTTTAGGCCCCTTGAAGACACAGTTCTGAGCCATAATGTGTGTATGGTGATGTGTGCTGGAGTAGAAGCAGAGCTTCAGAGTCCTAAAAAAGCTTCCTCCACATGTCCCTGAGGATGTGACTGTCATGCTGGCTTTGTTGTAAACACAGCAAAGACCAAGAAATAATTTATTGTTTCTCCTTAAAATTCTGGAGACTCCAGAACTCAACCCAGGCAAATCCACTCTAAGCCACTTAAGGCAATCAAGACCAGTGTGTATGTGCTTTGGAAGTTTTCCCACAAGCGTCAAAGTCTAACAGGCAGGTGTTCCTGTTTGTTCAAACTAGGCGAAATTCCCCAAGGGAACGAGGGCTCTGAGGATTATCGGAACTCAGCTTACATCCAACAGTGAGAGTCGTGGAGCCAGTCCCGAGGGAGGCACCTTCCTCCCCTGTAGGAAGCCCAGACGAACACGGCGGGGAACCCAACTATGTGAATGGGGACGTGGCAGCCACCAAAGCCTAGAAAAGCCCTGGAGGAAGGAGCCAGGGAACCATATACCGCCTCCCTAGGGTCCCTTCTCCAGAGCTGCTCAACTTTTTTTTTTTTGTAGTATGATGTTTTAAATGTGGTTAAGGGGATACAACTGCCCTGAGTCCTGGGCATCCGACCACAGCGGGAGCCGCCCTCGGCCTCAGGCTCCTGCCTTGGTCTTGGGAGCCAGTCAGAGGGCGGCTCCATGCGTAACTGTCCTTTCCCAGGCTGGGTACACCGAGGCCGGCTGGTGGGCCGGGCTGGTCCTCAGGACACATTGGTGTTCTGAGGGGGAATCTCAGTTTTGATTTCTCCCTCCCTCTTTCCTCTCTCGTTCCCGCCTTCCCTCCCTCCCTCCCAAAGACAATGCAGACAGAATAATAGCTGTAATTACACTTTGAGTTCTCCAGAGGTAAAGAATTATTATTACTTTAACAACTAGCTATCAATATAGACGATAGATAGATAGACAGATAGATGTTGCATATTGTCTATATTCATATATATCAAATGAATATATATAGTTTGCACATATATATCCTGAAAGCTGTTGAAATGTCTTGTCTATCTTGTGGTAAGGATAATGACACAATAAATGATTCCAAAACATACTGGCTTAAATACCAAAGAATTTAAAAAATATCTTTGGAAGATTGATTAAAACCCTTGATTTTTAAAAATTCTTAATTTTAAATTATTTTGGAGAAATGATCCCCTTTGATAATGTTGCACAGAGTAACACGAACTAAAGGATCTTGCATTGTGCCATTCTACAATTTTGTCCAAGAAAATGTGTCTTCTCTCTCCATGCCAAATCAGCTCCCTAACATTCTTTGGACTAAGAACTTGTGCATTGTTGCAATTAATCATAAATTCTGTTAACTTTAAGATAATTATTTTTATTATATACTTTGAAATTTGCTCCTTATTATAAGAGAGTTAATTCACTTTGACCCTTACACTTTATTCCTCAGGTAGAGAATGTGTGTGCCAGTTCAGCGGACATGAAGACATTTGAATTCAGCTAAGCAGTTTCAGTCATCTAGAAACTGCTCCCCTGAGTAGCTAACACACGGCTTAACTGATTAACTAGAACTAGCGGAAGTTAATCTGGAATTTGCCAAGGACTGGGTGGAGTTCTTAGATAAGAACTCCAAGATGATATGAAAGTTCATGTTCTTTTTCAACTGGAAAACTGAGCAAAAGCTTTACTAATCTAAAAAAGAAAAGAAAAGAAAACCTTTCCCTACCTTTCCCTAGATAGAGAGAAAATCCTGATAAACATGATAGAGAAGGAAAAAGGAATAATAACTTTTTAAAACTAGCTTTAGATGTAGATGAGCTCAGAATGTGTATGTTTTTGTTTTTATTTCAAAATGTGTTTGTTTCTATTTCAAGCTGCTGCTTCCTCTCATAGGCTGTGCAGTACCAAACGGTTGGTTTTGTGCTTTTTCCCCGCCCTGCAATGTTGGGTCCCCAAATTTGACCCTGTTGCTTTTTATGTTATTACCAGTTATATCCAGAGGGGCGGGAGTGTACGTTGATCAAGGCTTTTTAGAATAAATCTTATAGGTCTGAAGAGCTGAGAGTTCTATGGGAAATAAGGGCTAAACAGGATTTATAAATCCTGGTGTGTTGCTGCTGTGGTCTTCAGCCTTTCCCTGACAAGAATGGAAATTGAGAAGTTAGTTCAAGAAATAGAAAGTAAAACTGTTAAAGCTGTTTGAAAGAAAACGACTCGAGGGTTGATTTTCACAGGATCTGTGTTGGGTCACTGCCCTCCGTGGGCTCCCCTGGATAGTGCACTGGGTGGGACAGAGACCCTGAGGGGTCCTTTTGTTGGTTTTCTTACTTGTACAGAATTCAAATGCTAGAAACTTCTTGAGCCTCCAAGGTGAGAATTGTGACTTCAAAGCCCTCTTGCTGGGGTTGCAGGCACTGCCCTTAGGGGGAGACAGCATGGTTGTTCACCCGGAAAATGTCACAATAGAAGGTTGCTTAGATGTTAACTTGGTCAGTGAACTTCTTTTCTAGCTTTCCCAGACCTCTTTTCATGCCAGGAGACAGTTGTAAAGAGAAAAGAGTACTGCTCTTCTCTAAGTCTAAAGGTGTTCATTCCAGTTACAGCACTGCTGCTTGTGAGCTGGGGGTCCTGGGGGCAGTCATTCAGCTTCCTGCTCGCCTGTTTCTCCGCCACCTCTTGGGTGGTAGTAAGGACCAAATGAGATGTGTGTGGAGGTGGTTTGCCCTTGCAGTCATAAAGCATGGGTATTAGTAATAAGAGTAAGAATACAGACATCATTTTCTCATTCAAAGGACTGAGGATTGGAAAGTAAAAGGAATCACCCTGGGTTTCCGGCTGCCTCCACTTTTGAGGTCCTGGGAGGAATTCTGACCTAAAGAGAATAGACTCTGGAGTCAGACAGACATGGATGGAAACACCATCACTGTGGCCCTTGCAGATCACTTATCTGCTCTATGCTTCTATTCTGTTGGCCAAGTGAGGACAGTGTGGATGCAATAAATAAATTACATCTCTAAACTTCATCACAGAGACCAGAGTTACAAGAAACACTTGTCATCCAAGGATAAATGGTAGCAGCAAAGGGGTCAAAGTGAATTAACTTTCTTATAATAAGGAGCAAATTTCAAAGTATATAATAAAAATAGTTATCTTAAAGTTAACAGAATTTATGATTAATTGCAACAATGCACAAATTCTTAGTCCAAAGAATGTTAGGGAGCTGATTTGGCATGGAGAGAGAAGGCATATTTTCTTGGACAAAATTGTAGAATGGCACAATGCAATATCCTTTAGTTCGTGTTACCCTGTGCAACACTATCAAAGGGGATCATTTTTACAAAATAATTTAAAATTAAGAATTTTTAAAAATCAAGGATTTTAATCAATCTTCCAAAGAGATTTTTTAAAATTCTTTGGTATTTAAGCCAGTACCTTTTGGAATCATTTATTGTGTCATCATCCTTACCCATTTTCTCTTCTTTTATTCTTCAGTTTTTACCTAGTCTCTTGATACGTGAATATACATGAGATTGGAACAGTTCTCCAACTTCACTTTTATCAATGTCATGAAATTCTGCTTTTGCAAGAATTGCAGTTTCATTTTGCCACCTAGTTGCTTTGCATTGTCAGATGTTTATAAGATGTTATATAATAAGTAAGAGACAGACTGTAAAATTTTGACTGGTTGATCAAGGATAGTCATTCAAGCCAAGCTGGGAAGGTTGAGAGATGAGAACAATAGTTATCCCAGGTTGGGGGACAGAATTGACAGGGAGGTGACAAAAGTGAGCCTCCTGGAATGTTGGAAGTGTTTTATATTTTGACATGGGTGGTGGTTACATGGGTGTATGTAAAAATTAACTGATCTAGACTCTTAAGATGTGTACACTTTGTGTGTAAATTAAACATAGGTGTAATTTATATGTTATACATGTTATATTTTACATATACATATAACTATATATAATAAAGGAAAAAGCTAGCAGTGAGTGAAAATTTTGTTGCTAAGGAACCTAGATCTTCAGATGCAAATATTTTTAAATTTTAACAAAGTATCTATATTTCACTAGGGACAGAAAAGCCTAAAAATATTATCTTTGGATTTAAAAAAGGCTGAAAAGACATTTAACAAAATGTTAGGGAATTCCCTGGCGGTCCAGTGGGTAGGACTTCATGCTTTTGCTGCAGAGAGCTCAGGTTCAATCCCTGGTTGGGGAACTAAGATCCCACAAGCCGTGCGGCATGGCCAAAAAAAACAAAAGAAAATGTTAATAATGGGATTGTGTGTTATTTTTATGGCCTTCTTTATACTTTTCAATATTTTTTCAATTTTCTATGATGAGCCTGTCAATTTAAAATCAGAAAAATATATGCAAATGATTTTTAAAGGATCTGCTATGTTAACTAAAGTAGTATCTCATTTAATTCCAATTCATTGAGTTATAGTATTAACATTAAATAAGGTTCTTTTGTGTACTTTTTTTAATAAAGGAGAGAATTGAATATTAGGTCTCTTTGGGCTAATACTCCTTTGGGCAATAGACACTGAAGTTATATACTTTTTATTAAAACCATGTGCAAGTTTGTGTCTTTCTTGCTTTACGTGAAAGTAGTGTAGCTTGGTGTGGGCTCATGACTGACTGCTTGAGTTTGTAGACTCAACTCTGCCATTTTCTAGTCCATTGACTGTAGGCAACTGATTTACTCTCTTTAATTTTCAGTTTCCTCTGAATTAGGGGTGATAATAGTATCCATATCAAGAGGGTTATTTAAAAAATCAAAGTAAATTTTATCATCATTGCTATAATATGATTAGATTGTTTTTGCTCTACATCTAGTAGTTATATTGTTTAAGCAGAATTTTTTTTTTTTTAAAGAAGATGTTGGGGGTAGGAGTTTATTAATTTATTTATTTATTTTTGCTGTGTTGGGTCTTCGTTTCTGTGCGAGGGCTTTCTCTAGTTGTGGCAAGCGAGGGCCACTCTTCATCATGGTGCACGGGCCTCTCACTATCGCGGCCTCTCTTGTTGCGGAGCACAGGCTCCAGACGCGCAGGCTCAGTAGTTGTGGCTCACAGGCCTAGCTGCTCCGCGGCCTGTGGGATCTTCCCAGACCAGGGCTCAAACCCATGTCCCCTCCATTGGCAGGCAGATTCTCAACCACTGTGCCACCAGGGAAGCCCCCAAGCAGAATTTTGAGGGATGTTTTTACATTAAAAATGAATTAGTGTTCTGAGCTCTCAAAAATTGAGTAGCATAGTGCTAACCAAGTGATCTTCCACTCTACACTGGAAATCAGTAATCACCTGCATTGTCTAATCCTCATAAGGACTCTGTGAAGTAGGCAGAGTAGTACTCCCATTTCACATATATTGACACTGAGACCCAAAGAGGGGAAAGGAGCCCCCAGAAGACAAGGAAGAGCCCAGAGTTGAGATTTTTCTGACTCACAGACATGGCAGCACCTGCTCCACCGTGTCATACTGGCCATGGTATGCACAGGGCAATTTCTTTCTGGTCGAATTTAACCTTTAATTCCTATATGCTTCTCTGGTTTCTCCTTTGATCAGGGCTGGGTCCATCATCCCATTCCAATTGTCCATGCTTTTCCCATCAACCAACTGTGCTGGTCAGTGAACTTTCCCACTTACACATGTGTGCTCATAGTGGCCCTTTGCTGAAGTGTCTGCCAACCTTCAATGCTAAAATCACATTCTTCATCTTTCATATAGTATATCTTAATTTACTTCATGCAGTACGTTGTTTAAATTTTAGCCTGTTTTGAATCCTGATAACCATTTGTTCTCCCTCATACGCCTATACATATAAAGCTGTTTTGCATTTCAGTTATTTGGCTAATTGTCTTCCCCCTACGCTTCTATTATTTATCTTAAAACCTCTTATAGTACCCAGCATAATGGCTCAAAAATGGAAGATACCTAATGGATGTGTATTGAATAAATGAATAATAAATAAATGAGTTAATGATGTAGCAGGCAAATAGGTACACATTTTTAATCTATATTTACAAAATGAGCTTGGGGGAATACATCATAATGCGCAGAAACACCTCCCCTTGTTGGGATATTTGAATGTAGCCAGTGACTTGCAGATTCAGCTTGTATTTCACTCATGAACAATTTTTTGAGCTTTTAAAAATAGGATTCTTTCTCACTTGTCCTTGGGTCTGATCTCATTAATATCCTGGAAATGAATTTGCTCTCCTTTGTGTGCACATTTACTCTTACAGCCACAGAGATAGGGCAGTCACAGAAAATCCCCTGAATGTCAAATAGGTCAGAGAGCCGAGGCCAGGGCCCGTTGGTGGCAGATAGGCAGCCAACATTTTCCCAGGTGGGTCAGGATGCTCCTGCCCAGGGCAACATCCTATTCAACTGGTTTGTTTCACAGACTCCTCAATACACTTTAGGCGACTGGTTGGAAAACTCTCTTAGGTATGGCACAGTTGATTATACTATCTAATTCAAAATGTGGTCTTAGAAATTGGGTGAATTATCCATTTTGAGTTTTATGCATTTCAAGTTTTTAATGTCCCCCTTTCTGACCCAAAGATGAGTTTCATATGGCTTGAGATATACTTGAAGTAGTTTAGGCAGTATATTTTATCAATTAAGAATGTTGAGGGGCTTTCCCTGGTGGAACAGTGGTTGAGAATCCACCTGCCAGTACAGGGGACACGGGTTCAAGCCCTGGTCCAGGAAGATCCCATATACAGCGGAGCAACTAAGCCCGTGAGCCATGGCCACTGAGCCTGCACTCTAGAGCCTGCGAGCCACAACTACTGAGCCCGCGTGCCACAACTACTGAAGCCTGTGTGCCTAGAGCACAAGCTCCGCAACAAGAGAAGCCACTGCAGTGAGAAGCCCGTGCACCGCAATGAAGAGTAGCCCCCGCTCGCCGCAACTAGAGAAAGCCCGCACACAGCAACAAAGACCCAATGCAGCCAAAGAAAAAAGAATGTTGAACTGAATATGCAAACTTCAATATAAAATAGATTTCTACTTTGAACCAAAGAACTTGACCTTTTAAAAAATAAATTTTATGTTTACAAACTTAATTGAAAAAATAGAAGGTTTTAGTTCTTTTTGGATGGTGAGTCACTTTTATCTCCTGAAAATCTCAGTAACATCAAGGGTAAGTGGGTGTGGATTTTGCCATCAGGGAAGTGTAGTGGGAATTTCCAGAATATTACCAGAGATGAATGTATCAGAGGCTTGGAGATGGGCCAAATGAAACTTAAATAACAGCTGGCCAACTGGCTGACCTCAGAATATATGATGAGAAGAACTGTGTATTAGTTTGAGTCCTCCAGAGAAACAAAACCAATAGGAGATAGGAGATATATATGCATATATGCACGCACGCACACACACACACACACACACAAACACATATATGCAGCTGACCCTTGAACAATGCGGGGCAATTAGGAGTGCCAACCCCCGCCCCTCCCGATCAAAAATCTGTGTACTGCTATCTCTTCCTCAAAAACAAGGAATTGATCAGTGACACCCAACGACAGGAAGCTGAAACAGTTTGAATAAAATCAGGACTCAAACCTTAGTTCTGTTGATTCCACATATTGTTCTCTCTAATCGAACACAAATTTTCCTCCACACTTTGTTAATGTAAAGATCTGTAAAATGAAAACACAGGCACTATATTTATTGAAAAAACTCCACGTATCTTATAAGTGGACCTGCACAGTCCAAATTTGTGTTGTTCAAGGGTCAACTGAATATATACATACATATATATATGTATATATATATATTTATATGTATATATATATATATTCAGATATTTATAATAAGGAATGGGCTCATGTCATTATGGATGCTGAGGCCTCCCAAGATCTACAGTCTGCAAGCTGAGACCCAGGAGAGGTGGTGGTATATTTCTAGTTCAATTTCAAAGGCCTGAGAACCAGGAAAGCCAATGGAGTAAGTTCTAGTCCAAGTCCAAGTTCAAAAGCAGAGAAGACCAATGTTCCAGCCCAAAGACAGTCAGGCAGACAGAAGTTCCTTTTTATTCACAGGCAGTCAGCCTTTTGGTTCTATTCAGGCCTTCAATTGTTTAGATGAGGCCTACCCGCATTAGGGAGGGCAATCTGCTTTACTCAGTCTCCCAATTCAAATGTTAATATCATCCAAGAACACCCTCACAAACACACTCAGAGTAATGTTGGACCAAATATCTGGGCACCTCGTGGCCCAGTCAAGTTGACACATAAAATTAACCATTACGAGTTGTTCTAACAGGATCTCCCCCACTGTCCAAAACAATCAATGCAGCTCTTAAGACTTTAAAGTCAGAGCTTGGGATCAGAAAACTCACCTCCCAGGGCTGCCCTGGTGGCGCAGTGGTTGAGAGTCTGCCTGCCGATGCAGGGGACGCGGGTTTGTGCCCCGGTCCGGGAAGATCCCACATGCCGCGGGGCGGCTGGGCCCGTGAGCCATGGCCGCTGAGCCTGCGCATCCGGAGCCTGTGCTCCACAACGGGAGAGGCCACAACAGTGAGAGGCCCGCGTACCACAAAAAAAAAAAAAGAAGAAAAGAAAACTCACCTCCTTGGGGTAGAGTGATGTGATGAAAGAGCACAGATTTAGAGTTAAATTGATCTGGATTCAAGTCCCTGATCTCAGCCACTTTGTAGCTATGTGATCTTGGATAAGCTAATTAACCTCTCAATTTCCTCATCCCCAAGGCACAAGATATCGCAGATTGTTAGGGAAAAATATTGCAATGTGCTTATCACATACGTAAGCATTCAGCACATCGTATCTATTATTAGTGTT